GACGGCGATTGACAATGGCGATGCTCTTGCTCAGCTCTCGGTACAGGCTCTCGAGGCCTCAAAGGCACTGAACCAGCGGATGGGTATCAACTCGACCTGCACGCCCGACAAGCTGCGCGTACGGAAAGAATGGTGAGTTGTGTACGGAACATCATGATTTGAACCACGACGTGCTGATATTGGGTCTGCAGGAGAACACTTCCTGCCGAAGAGCGCAAGGCGTATGTTGCGGCGGTCAAGTGCCTTCAGTCTTCCCCTAATCTGTTGAACGCCACCGAGCTTCCAGCTGCAAAGTCATTATACGACGACTTTGTTCTGACACATCTCAACCAGACTGGAATGATTCACGTTACGGTATGTCAAGACGTGTGCTACTCTGGAACTCAATGGAGCTGACTGGGTGGGACTATCTAGGCGAACTTCCTCCTTTGGCACAGGTACTTCACATGGACGTACGAGGAAAACCTCCGCAACGTCTGCGGCTACACCGGTTAGCACTACTCGTTTCCTCCACAGAAAACAACGTAAATCTAATTGCCCGCGTAACAGGAACCTTCCCCTACTGGGAATGGGGTCTCGACGTCGAAGACCCAGCCAAGTCCCCCGTCTTTGACGGCTCAGAGACCTCAATGGGAAGCAATGGCGCCGCCATCGAGCACGAGGGTATGCACCTCCTCCAGAGCTTCACCAACACCACCATCATCCTCGAGCCCGGCTCGGGCGGCGGCTGCGTCGAGAACGGACCCTTCTCCGACATGGTCGTCCACGTCGGGCCCCGGCTGCTGTGGCAGTACGGCACCACGACGCCGCTGACCGTCGACAAGCCGACAGATGACCACCCTCGCTGCCTGAAGCGTGATCTCAACAAGCACATTGCTTCCCGATACGCTTCGCTGCGGAACACCACTGAGCTGATCCTCGGTAATGACAACATTGAGTGGTTCCAGGCGGTTATGCAGGGTGATGATAGGTACACGCCCGGCATGGAAATCGGCGTTCACGGAGGAGGCCACTACACGATAGGAGGTAAGATTTCAAGACTTGTGTGCACATTACGACCGAGTCGGCGACTGACTTTCCGTATAGGCGACCCCGGTGCAGATCCCTTCATCTCTCCTGGCGAGCCCGTGTTCTTCCTGCACCACGCGCAAGTCGACCGCGTCTACTGGATTTGGCAGATGCTTGACTTTGCCAACAGACAAGTACGTTGAAACCCATGGGAGAAGCCTTAAAGTCTCACTTGTATCTTGATTGGAGAAAATACTAACAATTGCTTTTCTGAAGGACGTTTTTGGCACCAGGACCCTGCAGAACAACCCGCCGAGCGCAAACGCTACCTTGGATGACCTCATTGACATCAATCCCATTGGCGGATCGGCCAAGCTCAGAGACCTGATGAGCACTGTCGGAGGATCTCCGTTCTGCTATGTCTACGAGTAAAAAGCGAGTTCGCGCTATGGGCAATCACTTCCCAAACAACTTACATCTCTGTATCATATTCTATTGTACATACTTCAGCTGTAAATAGCACCCCTGTACAACTATCTGGCTACTTTGAATATACAGACTATAGTCTTGTCACACCAAATGTCATTGATACTGCCATGCTAACGGATTGGATGGTTCACGCCGAACGGCCGGTTGGTGCCGAAAGATCGGAATGGCACACCCAACGGGTAGCGACTGTAACCTCGGCCGTCGCAATTGCAACCTGTATGGATAGAAGATTGCGGCGTCATGGATTCATGTGTCACTTACCAGGCAGTCGGCAAGGCACATGATACGACGTTTCCTAAAGCGGTTTAGGAAAACCTGCAGATTCAAGAGTGGCAGACACGATGAGAGAAAAGCATCTCGTCTTATTCGATCCCACTGAAACCCTCCGCCAAGGAGCGTTCATCTTATGAATCTTGTCATCCTAAAGAGTATGCATCTGAGCAGCATGGATGATGCGATGGCGTGAAAAGGGGAAACAGGGTATTGTTGCGACGAAAAACTCTAAATGTGCGGATGATACCCCAGCCGCGGAGGATGGCCGCGGCAGTTTAAAGGGCGCTGTTAGACTTGCCATGGTAAAGAGGGGTGCTTTCTTCTGCCCTCGGCTACGGAGAATGAGATCCCTGCCCGGGGATCATATGTCCATCTTGAAATCTTTCCTCCGAATAGAGTTCGTTGTTCTGGAACACGACATTCGCGACAAGATCGCATCAAAACCGCGGTTCTGAAACCCCCGCACCCAAACTCCAAACCTGCGGACAGTCCGGAGAAGCTTTCAAAAGGCCACAAAGCTGGCGAGCCGGGTGCAGAAGATGGCCCTCGAGTCAACAAAATACTCCGGTCTGGTTTCGGTTTCGGGGGCTGTCAGTCTGGTCTGGTCTAATTCAAGTTCAGTCCCTATGACCCTATAACAGATGACAAGACCGCTCAGTCTCTTTTTTCGGATGATGTTGAATTCTCTCCTTGGCTGTGATTAGTTATTGGTGATGATTGTGTTTAGTCTGTTCCTATTATCATTTTAATCTAAGTCTGTCACTTCTGTAATAATGCCTTCCCTAACCAAATCCCTCGTTTCTCTTCTTTCGGCCGCAATCATCGGCCAAGTCCAGGCGGTTGACCCGCTTGTCGACCTTGGCTACACCAAGCTCCAAGGAGTCGCCGAGCAGGGCGGTGCGACTCGCTGGCTGGGCGTCCGGTTTGCTGCGCCGCCGGTGGGCCAGCTCCGGTTCGCGGCACCGGTTGACCCCCCGAATACGACTGATGTCGTCGATGCTTCGAATGTACGATATCTTTCAGGGAGCTTGGTGGAAAGGACCTCGCTTTGCTAACAAGTCTGTCAGTTCCGCCCGATATGTCTGGCTCGAAGCGCCTCCGACTTCACGATGAAGCCGAACAAGCGCTTCACGACTGACGAAGACTGTCTCTATGTCAACATCTTTGCGCCGTCGAATGCTACACCGGATTCCAAGTTGCCAGTGATGTACTTCATTCAAGGTGGTGGATTCCAGTCTCTCTCCAACGCCAACTTCAACGGCAGCGATCTGGCCAGGTTTGGAAACATGCTGGTCGTTCAGGTGAACTATAGAGTTGGTATGATCAAACCATGGTGCATATCGCATCGCATCACATAATGAAGTCGTAGGGCAATGGCTAATGTCCCCTGTAGGTCCCTATGGTTTCTTGCAGAGCAAGGAGGTGGAGGCTGGCGCGAGTATGAACAACGGCCTCAAGGACCAGATCCAGGGGCTGAAATGGCTGAAGCAACACGCCGCTGCTGTGAGCTTCTTTCCAACGTTCTCTTCTGTTGCCCCTTTGCTGACTGACCTTTAAAGTTCGGAGGAAACCCCGATCAGATGGTTGCCGTAGGCGACTCCGCCGGCGCAACCTCAGTAGCCATGCTTCTCGCGGCCTTTGGAGACAACGACCCGGGCTTGATCAAGGGAGCCATCATGGAATCCGTCTCCGTCGCTACCGTCCGCACCCTCGAGCAAGGCCAAGAGCAGTACAACTGCCTGACCAATGCCACCGGCTGCAACAAGCAAGCTGAATCCCTCGCCTGTCTCCGCAGCCTCAACGCGACGGCCCTGCAGACGGAGGACTGCCAGTTCAACCCCAACCTTGACGGCGACCTCGTCAAGGCGCCGACGCTGCAACGCTTCGCCGAGGGGAAATATCTTAAGGTCCCCACCATCGCGGGAACCTGCACCGACGAGGGGACCAAGAACGTGCCCCAGAAAACCGACACCGTCGAGGAGGCCTTCAAGAACATGAACGACCAAGCCACGCAGTCCCTCAGCAACGCCTCCCTCGCCCTCCTCAAGGAAACCTACCTCGACAAGCCGCAGCCCGTCTTCCCCAAATCAGGCAAACTATGGCGCCAGCTCGCGACCGCCCACGGCGACTACAGGGCGCACTGCATCACCAAAATCTTCCAGGACGCCATGGCCCGTGACGGCGTGGCGACCTTCAACTACCGCTACGGGCCCCTCGACGACGAGCAAGAGGCCCAGGGCTTCGGCGCCTACCACACCGTCGAGCTTAACGGCGTCTTTGGACCCAACAACACGGACGGTGCCCCACCAAAGAGCTACTCGACTACCAACGCGCCCATTGTGCCGCTGACGCAGGCCTACTGGGCCAGCTTCGTCCGCAGCCTCGACCCCAACGCCGCCAAGATCCAGGCGGGGATGCCGCAGTGGGCGGCGTGGACCGTTGACGGGAAGCAGAGGCTGCTGTTCCAGAATAACACGGGCACGATGGAGGGTATGCCCGCGGCGCAGCAGGATAACTGCGCCATGCTGGCGCCCATGATCCCGTTCATCGAGACGCCTGCGACGGATGCGCAGAAGGCGTCTGTGAATCTTCAAAAGGTCTCTAGCGGTGCGGCACCGCCGGCTAGCCAGCCTGCCAAGGCTCCGGCTGCTGGTAGTGGTGCCGGCATGAATATGGGTGAGTCCATGTCTGGCAAGCAGATGGAGATGGAGTCAGAGCATGGAAATAAACGCAATGGCACCAAGCATGGCGGAGGAGAGGGTGGCGGTAAAGGTGGTGGTAAGGACAAAGACAAAGGGAAGGGCATGGGACACAAGAATGGTACGAGCCCTGATGCCCCGAAGCATGGAGGAGGAGAAGGAGGTGGCAAGGGCGGTGGTAAGGGCGGTGGTAAAGGGGGACACAAGAACGAGACGATGCCGAAGCCCGGAGGAGGTGGAGGTAAGGGAGGAGGCAGAGGAGGTATGGGAGGCAGAAACGGGACCAACTCTACTCCTCCTACTGCACCTCCTCGGGTTGGTTCTGCTTCCAGTATGGGGTACGGAATCACTGGAGTGCTGTCGGCTACGGTGGTGGTATGTCTCGGGCAGTTCCTTTTGGCTTAAGCTTGCAGAAGCAAAGTCGAAATATGTCCGTCCGTGGAGAGAGAATTATCAATATTACAATGTTCAGTGCCAGGAGCTGTGCTTTTGACTCGCCACTGAGACCTATGCTTGACCTTTCCATCTATTCTAAAGCCGCGACTTTGGCGGTCCAGGTTGTCCTACCAGAGCATTGTCAAATAATTGCCCTTGATGCGTCGGTTGAGCAACCAGCCAACCCTCAATGGCAGACACCAAACCTTCCAACTCCTCGATAGAGTTTCCGGCATGAAGGCAGATCCTCACGCGCTCGCTTCCCACTGGGACAGTAGGCGCAACAATCGGCCTCAGCATGAACCCCCGCTTCTGGCAGTGCTGTGCCAGGCCCCGAGGATCCGAGGTGAAGAGTGGTATGATGGGCGATCTCGGCTTCCCAGGCGCCAGGTGCATCAGGTTTCTATCAGGCCGGTGACGTTCCAGCATTTCTAGCAAAAGTTCGTTTGTCTGGTTGATGAGGGACCAGAGATGGCGAAGGAGTGGTTCAGAGTGACCGTTTGCGATGAAGTCGTACGCCGTCTTGATACTTGCCAGAGACGTGAAGGGCATGGCGGTAGTGTAGATGAGACTCCGGGCGTAGTTGATGAGATATGATCGAGTGATGTGAGAGCACAGAATGATTGCTGTTTCAGAGTAAGCTTCAAGCAGAGGAAGAACCCGAGCTGTAAGATATTGAACATACCTCCTGAGCAACTCATCGCCTTGCCAAACGTGTGTACTCGAGCCCACACCCGATCCTCAAGGCCAAGCTGACAAACGAGCCCTCGCCCTCTTGGTCCAAGAAGCCCCGTCGAATGCGCCTCATCGACAATAACAAGGCCGTTGCCGCGGGGAAGCAGCCTTTCAACACACTCAACCACTTTCTTGAGCGGCGCCACGTCCCCATCCATGCTGTAAATCCCTTCGACGGCGACGAAGACGCGTTTCCGCCCCTCGCGCACCAGGCGGCCTTCCTCGCCATCGGTTAACCTGGACAGGACCTCGCTCAAGCTCTGTGGCCACTGCTGCTGGGCTTCGGCGGGATCTACCGTGTTGCGCGCAAAAGCAATCTTCTTCTCTGCTCTGCTCAGTTTCATGCCATCGTGAACACTGGCGTGGATGAGCTCGTCATAGACGATGATGTCGCCCGGTTGAGGGGCGCAGCTGAAGAGCCCGACATTGGCGTCAAAGCCCGAGTTGAAGAGCAGGCCGGCCGGGCCGCGGTGGAAGGCTGCGATATCTCTCTCGAGGGATTCTGCGAGGGACACGTTGCCGTCTAGTAAGCGTGAACCACCGGAGCCGAGGAGAGATGCGCCGTGGGGTTTTCCGTTGCTATTGCCATCGCCATTGAACTTGGTAACGGTACTGTCACCTCCAGTATCAACTGTCCGGGATGGGGACGGTGACTGTGACGGAGACGGCTCGAGGTGGGCCTTGATTCGGGACAGGTACCGAGCCTGAATCTCGGGGTGGGTCGACAGAGAGAGGTAGGCGTTGGACGAAAAGTCGGCGCTGCCGGCCGGAACGAGGGTCAGCCGCCGGAGCTGGCTCTTTGACTCCCGGCGGGCCAGGAGCGCGGCAAAAACCTTGTCCAAACGGTCGCTCGCCGGCATAGTTGAGATGAGCTGTAGTTGCCGGATACTTCCCGAGAGACTTTCCAATGAGAGTCGCTAGATGTATCTACGGAGTGATAGGTGAAGGGGGGAACCACCTCAAACCTCGGCACTGGGACTATGGAGTATGGAGCTGTCTGCGGTCCGGCGTAGAGGAACAAACGAACTCTCAACGAGTGAATTTCAAACCCCTGGCCCTGGCCCTGAAGATCTCTCTCAAAGTCCCGCATAGCCGAAAAGCGACGCGAGATGCAAGATCCATGCAAGGACGAGCCCGCCCCTGGCCGCGCGCCGAGCCACCGATGGCACCGTTGGGTAAAGCTCAAAAAACAGCGCCGTTGAAAATAAAAAAAGAATAACACTAACACCAACAGAAGCTCAACAACTTTGGCCTTTGATAGCCGCTTGCCCCAGTTTCTCGGCACAACAAATGCCGCAGCGCTAGAACAGGTACGGTAGTATTACGGATACCTTACCCCGCCTGTTCTAACTTCTGTGTTCTCTTCGGTCATTCCCCCAGCTCCCTTGTAAACCCGGGGGTTAGCAATAGGCAGTGTGACTCGTCTGGTCTCTATTTGGGAGTTCAAAGTGTATGCTCTGACATCAAGTGAGCAGACAGCCAGCTACGCTTTCAACGACTTCGACCAATTGTTCTTTGCTCTTCGCTCTTGAAGTTCCCATCGCACATGGGAGCTTGAAACAGCTCCGCAAAGACCTCAATGGCACCCGTCGGCGCTCTGCTCTGGCGTTCGCTCAGGACATACCAGATCTATGGCGCCAACACCGATGTCGGCAAGACGGTCTTCGCGTCGGCCCTCTGCAATGCGGCCCGCAACTTCTGGCCGCAGGACAAGACGGCTTTCCTGAAACCCGTTTCTACGGGCCCGGCCACCGAAGCCGACGATAGGTGTGCGTTGCTGCCAACTCCACTATCGATTGATACGATCTTCTTTTCTCTTGCTCATGAGCTGATACGGAAGAGAACAGAAATGCGAGCTCTTTTGGACTCAATTCCGCTCTTTGGCCTTGCTAATTCCGCTTCCCCTTCTCCAGTCATATCTCAAGGTTTGCACCCGGCATCGCGAAAAAAACGCTGTTTCAGTTTGAGATTCCAGCAAGTCCCCATCTGGCCGCTGCAGCCTCGGACCAGGTAACCTACCAATCTTCTCATTCTTTGTCACCGTACTAATCAATTCACTGAAAGCCTACCCCATCAGATAATGAAGTACTAAAAGGCATCTACAACTACTCATCCAGCCGAGCGGCCGATGGGCCGGGCTGGCTCTTCATCGAAACCGCCGGCGGTGTCCACTCCCCGGCTCCGTCCGGCACCCCGCAGGCCGACCTCTACGCCCCGCTCCGAGCTCCGGTCATCTTCATCGGCGATGCCAAACTCGGCGGTATCTCCCAAACCATTTCGGCCTTTGAGTCCCTCAAGCTTCGCGGCTACGATGTCGAAAGCATTCTACTCTTTCGAGATGGATACTACCAGAACGACACCTACTTGACCGACTACTTCCGCCGCGGACACGGCATCCCTGTCACCGCTGTAGACCAGCCGCCCGCTCGCGCCCAAGATGAGCAGGCGGACGCAGCAGCAATGTCTCGCTACTATACCGAATTATCATCAAGCACAGCCATCAAGGATACCTTGGACCATTTACACGCCCGCCACCTCGCCCGGATCGCCCGTCTGGAAACCATGTCCCGCGACGCACACGAGATCATCTGGTACCCCTTCACGCAGCACAAGGGCCTGACGCCGGACAAGATCACGGCAATCGACTCGGCTCACGGCGACAACTTCCAAACCCTCGTCCCCCAGAGCCAACAACAACCTGGTGACCAAGCTCTCCTGCAGCCATCCTTTGACGGATCCTCATCCTGGTGGACGCAGGGTCTAGGTCACGCCAACCCTAAACTCACCCTCGCAGCCTCCTACGCCGCAGGCCGCTACGGTCACGTAATGTTCGCCTCCGCCGTCCACGAGCCCGCCTTGGCCCTGGCCCAGACGCTGCTTCAGGGCCTGCGGAACCCCCGCCTCTCCCGCGTCTTCTACTCGGACAACGGCAGCACAGGCATGGAAGTCGCTGTCAAGATGGGTCTGCGCGCAGCGCGGGTACGCTACGGCTGGGAAGCCAGCGACAAACTCGAGATCCTGGGTCTCAGGGGCAGCTATCACGGCGACACTATGGGCGCGATGGACTCGACAGAGCCGTCCGTGTTCAACGAGAAGGTGGAGTGGTATGACGGCAAGGGGTTTTGGTTCGAGTACCCTTCCGTGATGTGCAAGGACGGCAAGTGGCAGGTTCGGGTTCCCGGTGTCCTAAAGGAGGAGCTGGGTGCTGGGCAGGAGTTTGGTAGCTTGTCCACGGTGTTTGACGTCGCTGGTAGGGAGAAGACGGGAGAGGCGCAGGTGTATGAGGAGTACATCGTTAGCGTCCTGCGTCGTCTCCGGGACCAGGGGCGCAAATTTGGTGCTTTGGTTATGGAGCCTGTTATTCTTGGAGCGGGAGGCATGATTATGGCGTGAGTACAGACAACGCTTTGTGTAACCGAACACTTCTTGCTAACGAATCTCCAAACGCAGCGATCCTCTTTTCCAGAGCACTCTCGTCAAGGTTGTCCGACAGCACCCCGAGCTCTTCGGAACGGCAACGCAATCTTCTTCAGCGGCAGACGAGAACACCTGGACCGGCCTCCCAGTAGTCTTTGACGAAGTTTTCACAGGTCTCACCCGTCTAGGCCGCTTCTCCGCCGCGTCCTTCCTCGGCGTCGATCCAGACGTCGTCTGCAACGCCAAGCTGCTCACGGGTGGTCTGGTGCCCCTCTGTACCACCTCAGCCTCCGACAGCATCTTCCGAGCCTTTGAGAGCGACGAGAAGAGTGACGCACTGCTTCACGGTCACAGCTACACCGCACATGCGGTTGGATGTCAAGTTGCGCTCGAATCGCTTCGGGAGCTTCAGAGGATCGACCGCGACGGGGAGTGGAACTGGGCCAAGACAAATGGGTGGGGGGCTTCAGCGACGGCAAACTCTTCAACTCAAGTGGAATCTGGCAGCTCTGCTGAGGCGTGGTCTGTCTGGTCTCAGTCTTTTGTTGACTGGATTTCGAAGCAGGCTGGTCGCGTAGATGGTGTTTGGGCCTTGGGGTCTGTTCTTGCTATTCATTTGCAGGATAGTGAGGGTGCTGGATACTCGAGCAATGCCGCCGCGAACCTCCAAAGTGCTCTGCTTCAAGGAGAGCATGGCGCCGAGGGCGGAAGATGGAACGTCCACAGCAGAGTTCTTGGAAATGTTCTCTACGTGATGACAAGTCAGACGACGACGCAGGAGGATATCGAGAGGTTAGAGAATTTGTTGCGGAGGTCCCTTGCATTGTGAGTCGACCAGGCCCGTACATGTACAATTCACAATTTATCCATATGGCATTTATACGGTTACACAGAGACCTCTCGCCATCCGTGATTCTCCTTACAGAGGAACCACGACTCACGTCTGAAGGCTACGTCAACTTGGCAGATTCTGCCGCACCTCCTTCTGTTGTCTCCTTCGTGTTGGCTTTGTTTGCCCCTCTCTGTTGCTTCATGGTTCTCCTTCTCCTTTTCCTTCTTGAACCGCGCATGAAGTACCTAACATATACATGTTGTCAGTGATGGCACCATCAACGAAAAAAACCCTCGGCCTCAGAGAGTGCTCACGTGATACCACCGATAAATACCAGACCAACGGTTGCAGATCCAATGCCAACACCAACTCTCTGTCCGATCGAAAGTTCTACTCCTATCAGCATGCGATGAAATCAGAGCACGCGAGAGTGAGCCCGGTGATACTTACCCCCTAGCATGTTAGCACTCCCGCTTCCACCGCTTGTTGACGAGGGTATGCTTCCAATGCTTGAAGTGGCACTCTGCGATGTTGTAGGAGTAAGGGAAGTATAGTTTCCATCTGAGGATGCAGTGGTCGATGAAAGCGTGTTGTTGACCAAAAGAGTAGCAGAAGTTGTGGCGCAAAGGAATGCAACCGCGCCATCAGCTGTCCAGCTCAGCGTTGCGCAGTAAGGTTCAGATCCATAACTTAGATACAGTCAGTCTTCCATTCTTTCTCTTCTTTCCCTTTCAGTCTTGGTAGGCTCATAAGATCTCCAACTTACCAAGTGAGGATCGACGCTTCTGTCGTCGCAGTTGAAATACCCGTGGCCGCCACTTCCTGGCAGCCAGTGCGAACCACGCAGTCTTGCTGGTCACTACAGCAGCCGACGAAAGCTGTTAGACCCTGAATCGAATGAACACATGAGCCTCCATTTTTGCAGGTGAGTGGCTCATCTAGTTTGTGATTTAATTAATACGTGGTATTTTGCCGTTGGCAGACGGGGAAAGCCCCATAGCATTGGATTTGGGCTAACCATCAATATATCCGCATGTTTCTGCTGTCGTGGCCTGTCGCTGGACAATTTCGGTTGGCGCTTGCAAGATTTGACTTGTCGTTGCGGGAACTCTGGCGACAACATCATAAGCAGATGTGCTCGAAGGTGTAGTGCGGCCTGCTGAAACTACATAAAAGCTGAGCTGTGCCACTCTGGCGATGAAGTTGATTGTATCACGCATCCTATTGATTGTAGCAACTCTGTGGTTGCTACGGGAAGAAGGAGAATCTTTGTCATAGCGAAAAATGAAAGCGTGTCTTTGGGTCGCAGTCTTGTATAAGCAGTTTGGAAAGGGTGTCGCGGCATCATTATCCCCGACGCCAGGTGTGTGGCCCTGCACCTGATCAATAGACCCAGCAGCAGGTTCCTGCGTGAGCCAATTAGGTACGAACGTGGCTTCGATAGTCATGCCAGATCTAGAAAACGTTGCTTATGTCTGACGGCAATGATTGAGATATCTGCGCTCATTGGTCGTCTGGTGCGACCGAGTACACTGAAGCAAATACTCAGGGTTGACAAATACGCAGCCTGATTTTGTGACATATCCTGAAGAGTCGAGAGAGTTTCATCAACCGTCAAAGTTCCACCTGAATCCTTGTCTACGCAGGTGAGAATAGTCTTCAATTCCGTTCATATACCATCGACCGGCTCCGTGTTGGAGCCTGGAAACCTTCCATTTGCAAATGGCCAACAACTCGAGTCCTACTTGCGCCGGTCTCGATTCTTTCCGAGCCTTTGACGAGTATGTGGACAAACTTAGAAGCGAGACTTCATTGAACGAGAGTTCCCTGGAAAATTGCCGGATTCAAATATGCCATGCCCTCTGGGGTGAAAGCAATCCAGACATTTCAGGCATCGGCGTAAGTTAACCTTATCCGTATGACTTAGTAGGAGCATGAGGTTGTCTAAGAATTCACAGATTTTCATTGGATACACCATTGAGATTGCTTTAGGCTTCCTCCTGGCCGTTCTTTTCCTCGGTATCAGCCGATATCAGGGGCAAAACCAGAAGCTCTTCCAGACAGCAGTCAAAGTTGGTCTCGAGGCATTCTTTGATTTTGCGATCTACTTTGCTATATCAGTGGCAATAGCCGTACTCGTCATGCTATACAAGAATGACTATGGTATCTCAACGGAAGGTTTCGGTGCTAACGAAGCACACATGGGCTTGGCGTTATCAGTGACTTGCGTCTTGCCCTTATTCTACCCGGTCGGGCTTCTAAGCACCAAGTCGTTGCAAAGACCGGCCAAAAGCCGAACGATATCGAATGAAGAGCCACACGAGAAAGACGAAAAGGAGAACCTTCGTTTACTACTCTTTTGCCTGTTGGCAGTTCTCATTTTCTATCCATTCGTGTCAAAGTGCATCCACACATGGAAACCTTCCCAGATCGGCACTGCCAAAGGCCCAGAAGGCCGTACGCTGATCACGAGAGAAGAGTGGAATCGGATCGAGAACATGTGCTTTGGTTCCACTTCTTTCTTCACAGACACGGAGCAAGTTATACTGGCAGTCTTTGAATTTCTGGCCTCGATTTCGATTTTCCTGTTTGCGATTTGGCGAGTAAGTGGTGCCGTCGTCCGCAAGATGGAAGAAGATGATGTCGCTGTAGGCGACCGACGCCAAAAAACTGCTAAATTGAAGAAGATGCGAGAGCTCATACAGAAGGCCTGGGAGCAGCGCGCAATTATGCAGATATCTTTGCTTCTGGTGCCTGTCGTACTAGGTGGCCCGCTCCTGTGGAGCGTTTTTCGCCTGCGAACGATACAAGCAGCCATCGCAGAAAGACTAGAGAGCACGTATTCAGGAAACGATTGGGGCTTTGGACAAATAATCGGAATCATCATATTCGTGCCCATATTCACCGAAATGGCTTTTGCTAGTTGGAGATCACGATCCTCATCGCAGCCTGCCGCGGGCGAGTCAGAGGCTTCACGACCGATTTAACTCAACCGGTCATTGCTAGCTACGATAGTTGTATATGAACGAAATTTCGGTGGCATTGTGGTGCTACAAAGGATGAATTGCTTCAAAATTGACTTGGCAAGTAAAGCTGCTCATTCACCGAATCATTCCAGACAAATAGCAGGTAACTCCACGGAGCCGTCGACAGATGTGACAAAAGAAGTCTTACCTGTCGGCCCACCCCAATAGCTCCCCATTAAACCCTTTACTTATATACGCAAGGATTCAGGCGCCTTTAGCAGTATCCAAGGTCATTTTCAAACTTCACATGGACCTCTGATCTGTAAAGTTCGCATATGTGTTTCTGGCGACCGATGATCCGATCGCTTGGTTGTTGGCCAAGTTCCGTACGAGTTTTATCCGGTACACTCGAGGCACCTTGATCCTACAGGAATGCTGCTTGCGGCGTGGGAGGCACGGTCTCTGATTCTGAGGAGCGGTTATGACACCGTGAGCAGTCGAAGTTGGCTACCTTGCTTGCTTGAGCTCTAGTTTGATATGGCAATCTTCTGCACCAATGTCCTGAGAACTGCCTGAACAGCATGGCAGGATATTTTGTGGATATGAGGGCACATACGCGTCGCACCAAAGCTCAACAACAGAGCAAGTTCTTCATCGATACATCGGTCGCGGGATGTAGGCAGTTTTTTCGAAGTTGAGGGATCTTTGCATGGGACCTTGCCAGGGGCCTCTGCTGTTCCAATGCATCGAACGCATATAGAAAAGTCTAGATGAAGCCACCAACCGGGCCTTTCCTAGGGAGTTAGCTCAGCACAGCAAGGACGGAAGGGCCAGAGCGCGACAGGCGATGAGGACCTTTTATGCGGCCGTCCATTTTAAGGTGCTGTTTCACCCGGAGTTAGTGATGGGTCTTGGTTGCAATTCCCGGGTGAGTGTCTATGAGTGGTCGCCCTATGCGAGAACGAGAGTGGAGTTAAGACTAGAGGTGCAGTTGATGACAGACAGCACGGGAGGGATGAGGACGACGCAAGACGATGAGATGGGATGAGTATAGTGCATGGCTAGGGTAGCTATGTGAAATTATGGATGGTTCAAGTTTCTTCCCGGCCGAGAGGTGCGCCCGAGTCTCATGAGTCTTACGAGTCTCTACTCAAATGTAGATCCAAAGAATACTTTTCACAAAGCCAAATAAGCCGAGGCGGCACGAGATAAGTGCGATATCCCCGTGTAGCATGCGGAAGGAATTGAAGGATTCTCGGCGCTATGAAGTGGATATGCCGACGTCCAGTCCGCGTCTGTGTGTCTCTTGATCAGTGATCAGTGTAGCAGAGCAGCATGTTAGTGCTACCTTTTTTGATGTAGTGCGTGGTCAGGGTCTTTTGCCAAGTTCAGACTAGAAGGCGAATTGGAAGCTTCTGTCGAAGAGATCTGCGGGGAGTTAAAAATCCTTCGCCCAACATGTGTGGGTGAGTGACAGTGAGTGAAAGTGAGAGTGAGAAGAAGCATTGAAAGTCGCAGTGAAAAGTGAGTTTGTGTGAGTGAGATGTGAGGTCATGGGCTGCTGACGTATGCGCCACTCCAAGCCAAGCTCCCCCTGGCCCCAACTCTGATGATCCTCTTCGTCCTAGCCCACCATACACACTGACATAACCACGAATCACGACAACTTTGAACCAGTAAAGATGGAGAGAAGTTAGCGCAGCGGCCCCAGGTGAAAGGGAGGAGATCTGCAATCTAATCTGACCTGTGCACCGCCAAATGCCGCCCGCTTCCCGCCCGCTCTGCCGCCGCGCCTCAAATGTTCCGTCCCAGTGCGATCCTCTGCTTTTTGTAAGCTTTGCTCAGTCATACTTGCAGAAGATCACTGATCCTGGTCGGGCCAGCCGTCTTTCCGTCCCACCTTGTTCTGTAGATTGCAGACCGCAGACTGCGGCGCCACTCTCCTTCAAATTCGAACAAGTTGTGGAGATGCCTAGGCCAAACGAGCAGGCCAGTAGAAGCTTGAGCAACGAAAGAGATACGAGGAGATCGGGCCCTGATTCGGCTACGGATTCACAGCCATGGGATCGAGTTCCCACATTCGCATTTCACACACCAATGTCTCTCCGAGCCCTCCGAAGGAGAAAAGCGGATATCACGGCCCGTCCTAGCATCAAAGCTTGACTTCGATCCACCCCACACACGCGTACGGTAGCGTCTGCAACGTTGAGGCACTCTTGCAGACGCACTCCTGTCACTGTGAGGCATATCCAGGTTGCCAGGGGGGGGGATGCCAGACTGAGACCAGCCCGCCAGGCCCAATATTCGCCGGTTTGCTGCCCAGTTCGTCAACGGCGAGCCCGCGCCTATCAGACTGAAGTCAGTCAAGACATTTGCCTGCTCTCTTACACTCTCTCTCCGTACCTTACTGTACTCTCATACGGAGGATCCAGAAGCGTGAAGCAAGGAGGACCCATCAAATAGGTCTTCAATATGCCGTGAATGCCACCCGAAGTGCGGTTTCGCAATGGCAGACTGCACCTCGGACTCGAGCGAGAATATCCATGGTCCATGGTCCATGGATGAAGCGCAGGAAATCCACCACCCCCCGTTCGCCCCCTCCTATGCCCCTTTTGACGGCCGAATTCCGTCCTCAACTCCTCCGTCCGCTTCGCCCCACACTGCCCGTACGCGCCCCGCTAGAAACCGGAACTTGTTTCTGGCAGTTTGCGAGTAAAGACAAGCACACAAGGTGGGCAAAGACCGCACACACCGGTGACACCTTACACTAGCTCGCGGCTCGCCCCTAGAGGACGACCGATCTTCCTACGTTAGAGACCCGGCTTAGTTCAGCACTGGGCAACAATCGAACTCGAAACAAGCCTTTTCTTTTCTCCTTATCCCTTCTCCTACTTCAGGGTTGCTCCACTCGCGGCGCCGGTACACCTTTGAGCGCCGACCGGCCGATAACGGTCCCGGGCCTTGTTGCAGCACGGTGGAACTGCTGCCATGTGGACATGACGTCTTCATCTCAACTCCTTCGCCGAGCTATGTCCTTCTTCGCTGGATAGGTGTGCGGACTTGAGCATCATGGGAAAATGCCGACGCATAGCTTGGGGCTAGAACTTTGCTAGACCCAAAACTATGTTTGGCTACCTTGGCCCAGAAGAGGAGAGAGCTTTCCTTCTTTCTTTCTTCCGAGTATATAAACACTCTGGCTTGGCCCCGTGAACTTTGGCATTGAGACCACACTCTTACACACATCTCACTCTCACACGTCTTTTGACTACGATCTACAACTGCAACACAATACAGCTTATACCATTTGATATTTTCAACTTTCGAAACACAATCACACGATACCAATTTAGTACCTCACTTTTGACAAACCAGCATTACACTACTTCAGCATGGCACAGCCCCAGTACGGAAAGCGCTTGATTCCCCAGGTCCTCGACGAGGTCGCAAAGTCAGAACCCAACAGAGAATTCATCTCCGTCCCCCGCTCCTCCAACCCCCAAGATGGCTGGAAGCCCATCTCCTACAAGCAGATCGCCAACGCGGTGAACCGGATAGCCCAGAGAATCATCGACAAGCGCGGCAAGCCCGAGCCCGGAAGCTTCCCAACTCTCACCTACATCGGCCCCAACGATGCCCGCTACATGATCATCATGATTGCCTGTATCAAGGCAGGATACAAGGCCCTCCTCATCTCCCCGAGAAACTCCTTTGAAGGCCAGATGAACCTTTTTGAGAAGACGGACTGCCACATCATCTGCTTCGACTCATCCTTCAAGGATGTCATCCAGCCCCTGCTGGAAGAGCGCCCCATGGACGCCATCATGGTCAGCTCAGCAGACGCCTGGCTCTCGGACGACGAGGTGCCCCATTTCCCCTACAACAAAACCTATGAAGAGGCAGAAAACGATCCCGTCGTCGTCCTGCACACCAGCGGTAGCACAGGTCTGCCAAAGCCCATCGTCGCCCGTGTCGGCATGATGGCCGTCGCCGACGCCTTCCACCACGTCCCCGATTTCATGGGCTCCGAGAACTGCATAAAATCCATCATGCACGGTACCCGCCTCTTCCTGCCAATGCCCCTCTTCCACGCCGCCGGCTGCTATATGTCAACCTTCGCCACGATCTACTGGGGACGGCCCGTCGCGCTGGGCTTCACGGACCGGCCCCTGACGCCGCAGACCGTTATCGACGCTGCCCAGTACGCTAAGATCGATAACGTGATCCTGCCTCCCGCCATCCTCGAGGAGATGGCCCATATGCCTGAGGGCATCGCAGCGCTCCAGAAGTTCAAGCGCGTCAACTTCGGTGGTGGCAACCTCGCCCGCGGCACTGGCGACAAGCTCGTCAAGGAGGGCGTCCCCGTCTCGAGCGTCATCGCCTTTACCGAGGCGGCCCCCTTGCCATACTACTTCCAGAAGAACCTCGAGCTTTGGCAGTGGTTCATCGTCGACTCAGACAGACTTGGCGTCGACTGGCGTCAGGCTAGCGGCGAGGACGAGGACATTTTCGAGCAGGTCATCGTTCGCAAGGATAAGGCGGACCCCCTTCAGGGCATCTTCTACACCTTCCCCGACGTCAACGAGTACAACACTAAGGACCTGTACCGCAAGCACCCGACCCTGCCCAACCACTGGATGTACTACGGCCGCTCTGACAACATCATTGTCTTCTCCAACGGCGAGAAGCTTAACCCCGTCACCATTGAGGAAATCGTCACCGGTCACGCGAGAGTCAAGGGCGCCGTCGTCGCCGGCGCCATGCGCTTCCAGCCTTTCCTCATCCTCGAGCCCACCGAGCCCCTGACGTCTGAGGACGACATCCAGCAATTCATCGACGATGTCTGGCCCATGGTCGTCAAGGCGAACAAGGAGACCGTCGCCCATGGCCAGATCGGCCGCGCCTTCATCGGCGTCACCAACCCTGAGAAGCCTTTCCCCCGTGCCGGCAAGGGCACCATCCAGCGACCTATGGCCCTGAAGCTTTACAAGGACGAGCTCGACGCGTGGTACAGCAAGGCTGAGGACGGCGCCGACTCCCTCTCCGTCAACATTGACGTTTCCTCCCAGCAAGGCATGATCGACTCGATCGAGAGGCTCTTCCAGCAGACCCTCGGCAGCCGCGCCCTCTCCGCCGACTCGGACTTCTTCAGCGCTGGCATCGACTCCATGCAGGTCATCAACGCCTCCCGCCTCCTCCGCAAGGGCCTCGAGGCCGCTGGCGCAAACATCACCGCCGATGCCATCGCAACCCGCGTTATCTACGCCCATCCCACCCCTCGCCAGCTGGCTGCCTACCTCATGGACCGTCTCAGCAAGAACACCTCCGCAGACAGCAACGGCGACGGCGAAAACCATGACATCCACGCCATGGAGGCCCAGCTGCAAAAGTACACCCGCGACCTCCCCAAGAGCGCCGGCACCAAGCCCGCGCCCAACGACAAGGGCCAGACCGTCCTCGTCACCGGCACCACCGGCGCCCTGGGCTCCTACCTCCTCGACTTCATGGAACACAACCCGGCCGTGTTAAAGGTTGTCTGCCTCAACCGCAGCGAAGACAGCGGCAAGCGCCAGGTCAAGATGTCCGCCGAGCGCGGCCTCGCCACCACCTGGAAGAAGGCAGAGTTCCTCTGCGTCGACATGTCCAAGAGCAACCTCGGCCTCGAGCCGGAAGTCTACGATCGTCTCCTGAAGGAGGCAGACCGCGTCATCCACAACGCCTGGCCCGTAAACTTCAACATCTCAGTCGAGACCTTTGAGCCGCACATCCGCGGCGTCCGCCACTGGGTCGACTTCTCCCTCCGCGCCGCCAAGAACGTGCCCATTGTCTTTGTGAGCTCCATCGGCACCGTCGACACCTGGCAGGGTCCCGGTCCCGTCCCGGAGAAGAGACTGATGGATCTGTCTCTGCCGAGCACGGGCTACGGCCGCTCCAAGATGGTCAGTTCCCTCATCCTCGACGAGGCGACCCAGGTCTCAGGCGTGCCGACCGCTGTCGTTCGTGTCGGACAGGTCGCCGGCCCGCAGTCCAAGGACGGTGTGTGGAACCGCCAGGAGTGGCTCCCCACTATCATCGCCAGCTCGAAGTATCTCGGTGCGCTGCCGCGTGACCTTGGTGCCATGGCGACTGTCAACTGGACGCCGATCGAGGGCATCGCGAACCTCATCCTCGAGGTATCTGGCATTGCCGCCCCCGTGCCATTGGAGAAGATCAACGGCTACTTCCACGGCGTGAACCCGCGCACCGTGCCCTGGGAGACCCTGGCTGAGGCCGTGAGGGAGTTCTACGGCGATGGCGTCATCAAGAAGCTGGTTTCCTTCAAGGAGTGGGTTGAGTTATTGGAGAACAGCACGGCGACCACGGATGATGTTGATAAGAACCCCGGTATCAAGCTGCTTGACTTCTACCAGGATCTGGCTATGGGCGAGGGACAGGGTGTCGAGTTCTCCATGGAGCGCACGACAAAGAGCAGCAAGACAATGAAGGAGATGCAGGCTGTGACGCCTGAGTTGATGCAAAATTGGTGCAGGCAGTGGGCGTTCTAAAGAACGATAAACCTTGTTTTGGGATTTGGGAAAGCATAGACTACTTCCTTAATACTGTACATAGAATGAGATATGACAATTGATTTCAAGTATCTAACAAGCTTCGTTTTCTTTCAATATCATCTCCTGGCATAGTAAGACGCCCAATAGTTCGGCACAGTCCGATTGCCCTCGCTCGCCGTCTTGCTAAATAGGGGCCAACCTGGTAGCGGCCCCCTTTGTAGCGAGGCTATACTCAATTGGTCCCATTGCGATTTACGCGTCAAAGAACAACCAGCTTCCTTTCACACTCCATCCACCGTGTTCAGGTATCAAATAACGAACAGCGGCTTTTGTCTTTCTTCGAATTATCAATGCAAATCTGTACTATATAAACATGATAAATGGAAGTCTTGCGGTCTTGGACAATAGTTTCATCAAACACTGCGCAAGAATTTGTCTTCAATCGTCCTCACTCTTGGAGAACGCACCTTACATCTTAGTTTCAATCAATCCAGGTGTCACCAGAGAAATGAGTGAACAGAATGATGACGGACCTAGGTGCAATATTCTTGTACCATCTAGCAAGAAAGAGATGGAGGAAGAGAAGTGCGAAAACATGTTCCACTGGTTTTTATACTGGGAAGGCGATAAGTTGGTACGCCCATTTCATCCTAAACCCAGACCGCCGG